CGTTATGTAAAAGTTGTCTTTGACATCCAGCTGGAACTGATGAAGAGGAGCCAGTGCAAATGAAGAAGAAGGTACTAGATGTCCACAGAACTGGTTTTGATTATTCGTCAAGCCTACCCAGGAGGTCACAGCTCACACAGCAACACATCATCAGTACATTAAAGGTTTTTCATAAATATTAATCCAAGTTGTGAGAATTGTTTTAGCAGGATAAAGTGGTGTGTCGGTGTGCCAGGTGCCGTAATCCTCAAGTGCTGTAACTCTCTCTGAGGCGTCTGTCGGAGCTACACTATATGAACGGTTCATAGCTGAAATGTTATCTGAAGCCTAATTTTTGAACAAGTAATATTCATACTGGTTTAATAAGTAATTTGACTGCATTTCCTTTTCTTTGCTGAGCCACAGTTTTGTGTGAAAGGGATTAAAGGCCTGTCCCAAATATAGGCCTGTTGATTTCAGTAAATTAAACAAATAGTAGCCTGGGCTATTAATTGAAGTTTTACAGTATCATATATGGTATATGTCACTTACATCCTGTGCATTGTTATTTTAACCAAAACCAGACTAAACTTAACCAAGTATTGTTTTGTTCTCTAAACCAACCAAGCTGCAAAAGTTTCACAACGAAACTGCCACCGTTAACACATTTGTGTTGCCATCACGTAACTTAACACACTTTGTGCCCACCATCACATAATGCATTGTTGAGAAATCACATATTTGCGTGTTTCTGTGAGACTGTGTTGCAGTACGAGTGGGGATTTTTGTAGTTGGCAGGTGTAGTTCAGTAGAAAGAAAATAGTTCCTACATGAAACTGTTCACAACAAGGTCTGCGGATTATCTTGAGTAACCAGGTCATGATTTCTGGAAAGAGACATTGATGTTGAGTTTTTCAAATGTATTTTTTTTGGTGCTTTGAGCACCACAAGCTGAGTGACATCTAGTTCCATTTAAACCTCCTGAGACCCTGTGTCCTCGTATGATGACACCACATTTTGGGTTTACTTGACCTTAAACTTCATTCTACTTAACTCAGACTTCTTGTCGTCATTTGTGGACACTTTTTTGTGCCATCTAGTGGTAGTAAGAGCACAATACACTAATCCATGTAAAAACAAGATGGCAGCCATCTCTGCTCAGTCTGCAGCTGATCCCGACACAAAAGTGGACAAAACCTGATCACATGTTATGGTTGAAACTTGATTATCTATGATTAATAATGTTTGTAGTTTGATATGGCAACACATTTGACCAATTTTAGCAACAAGATAAGACACTGTTGATTAGAAAGTACTCGTTTGAAGACATTTGGACTTATTATCGTTTTTTATTTTCACTTCTCAGGTCCTACTGATCCCAAATAGCTAGGACAAAATAAAAATGCATACCAAACAAAAACTTGGGTCTCATGACGATATTGGAAAGAAGGCAAATATCTCTTCTGTTGATAGACTCAGCAACTCACACTGAAACAATCTTGACTGATAAATAGCATTACAGGTGAGGTAATTTTGGGGTGAACTGTCCCTTTAAGGACACTTTAGCAGTGCAGATGCCCCCACAGGGACTTGAACTCATGTCAGAGACCATCCCGCCCCAGAAAAGCAGCAGTGTATGCAGCAACAGCATCCTAAGTAGACAGCAACCTCAGCACCTGCTCGTCTTCAGTTTTTCATGAGAATTTGTCCATAACGTGAAATACTAACTCATCCACTCAACTGACTCGAGAACTGCGATGGTGTGCATTCCCTGGAGCTATACGCGGACCAAAGTGCGCACTGGTGTGGAACAACCATGTCAGCACATTCAGACGCAGGAGGTCCAACAGGGAGGAACCATGAAAACTTTGTTGGCTGTCCAGTGCTTACCGAGCTTCAGGAAGCCCTGGGAGCACGGGGCTCGTGTTTTATTCATGGGGCAGAAAACATGAAAAGAGTAGCAAACAAAAAAATCTAAGGTTGGGGGAAATGAAGAAGAGAAAGAGAGATTTAGAGAGAATGAAAGAACTGCAACATAAATTTGAAAGGGAATCTAAGAAGCGAGTGATTACACCTTAAATGAAAGATTAAAAGGGGAGTTACAGAGTGAAATATGACTGAGGATGCTGCATAAATGAAACACACTGCAGGTTACTGGCCAGTCATTCTCTTTCATCTGTCTGATGGGATGCCGGATAATAATACAGAGCTTAAGAAGTTAGAACAAGGAGAGATCCTTCTCCTTTTGTGGAAAGCCACGTATTCTGGATTCCTCTTCTTCTTAAATGAATATGTGACACCGAATGTAAAGGTCAAGCAATACAAAGACAGACATTTTGTTTGCTGAATAGGAATCAGCAGAGGTTTGTGACCACGATTAACCAGCGGATAAAGAAAATATATGAATCGCCCGCTGGATGATTAATGTTACAAGTTATTAACCTGTGCACCAACAAGCTATTATCCATATCCCATCGCCACAATGCTACCTGGCATTATGTGTAATCTTGTTGTCTTCGATTCCTCTCTTTAAGCATTTGGAAATATTGCAGTAAGCCAGACATGCACGATTGAGGCCAGGACCCCAAGAAATAATCTGCTTTTGGCATTTCTATTTTAAACGCAGATTAATCAGACAAAGGTTAGGGGTGACAGCAGAGAAGCAGAGTTACTTTTTGCAGCGTGGAAGGAAAGAAGTTTATGATTTAGTTTTGATTCTTGTGAAAGTTAAACGTGGAGTAGATGCATCATTTTACAGCTGATTTAGGCCTTTTAGCCTGGTGGCAAGTTCATGGTCTGAACACTACAGACTGTCCTCTGTGGTAACAACACCCAGAGCAGATATTAGCATCCACTGTGCAGCTGGCATCAGTATTATAACGACTGATCAGTGGTGGGTGACTTAAACAACTTCTAAAGGCAGTGAGAGTCTATTTGTAGGGTTGTACCTCTCTGGTTTACACTTACGGTGAATGTCAGAACATTTAAGACCCAAACCTCGTCAACTTTGTGGCAAACAGCCACAATTCTGTTCTCTGGGGAAATGTATGGAAGGAAATAACTGCCAAATGAATCACTACTGAAAATGTTAGGGCTGCCCCCGACTAAGGACTGTCCCTAAATGACGACCAATAGAGGGAATTGTTGTTTACAAATACTTCTGGGTAGAAAACCAGCAGAGTTTAGCTATATATATATAGCCTATAT